ATGGAAGCTCAAAAGGGTTAGTTATTTGCCCAAAGCAGCCCAATAACAAGTGGCAAAGCCAGAACCAGATCCAAGGTCCCCAAAACCAGAACTGGGTATTCCGTACACTTCATCCCCACCTTGCCGGTCAGGATTGGGTGGCAGGGAAAGCGTGCATCCCATTTGCTTCAACTTCCATGGGGATAATCAGTTTGTGTTGATTTTAGTTGAGCAGTTTAGTATAGGGAAGTTAGAGAGGTCTGTCCTTGAGGTATATAATTCTTGGAAAGGGGATGAAATATGAAGACCCAGAGAACTTCTTTCCCCAGAAACCCTGCCCAGTAATGGGTAATAAGTACAGCATTATCTTTTTTGACTTGGCCTGTTTCTGCCTCTAAAGCCCATGTTTATGATCTCAGTTTTCTTAGTGATAGAAAGATCAAGCTCAGGACTTCCTTGGCAGTCCAATGGTTAAGACTCCATGCACCCAATGCAGGAGTGGATGCAGGTTTGATCCCTGGTTGGGGAACAAAGATCCCACATGCCACGTGGCACGGCCAAAAAGAAATTTAAATAAACAAAGTAAAATAGATAAGCAACAAGGATTTATTGTATAGCATGGGGAACTATATTAAAAAAGAAAGAAAGATCAAGTTCAACTTTACCCCCATGCATGACGACTTCTCCTCCAGATACCCATCCTTAGCCTCTGTACCATCAGGGACTGGCTTGTGGAAATGAAAAGAATAAAGAATAAAGCCACTAGGAGTACTGTTGAGCTCATGAAGCGATTGAGAATCGGGTGGAGCTTCCATAAGGTGCAGAGTTCTACTGCAGGTCCTAGACACTCTCATCCTGTCTTCAGGCCAGGAGCACCTCACCCTATCTCCACCCCAGATTGAAGCAGGGCAGAGTACAATTAGGCTCTCCCCAGGACATAGGGAATGAAGCCTTGACTGTGTCTCATCCAGCCTCACAGCGAACCCACAGGATTCTTTTTCACCCATCTAGTTGGCCTTGACCTCTTGTTCATCCAGACGGGCAGATTCCATCAGACCCTCGCACTTGGCAGTTTCTGGTCTTATCTTCTGCCTAGCATGATACATTCTACTGTCGGTGGGGAAGACAGTGGAATCTTGGGTCCAAACGTGCCGGAGCTTGAACCCTTCATTCCAGGAATTTGACAAAAGTCTAATTAGTTACAGACAGGACTGGAGCCTGGATCTCCTAATTCCTATCCAGGGCTCTTTCCAGAGTTCAGAGGCAGTGAGATGATATTCTAGATGAAGAATCTAGAAGGCTGTCTCCTGGCAGCAGGCTGCTTCATGCCCGTCATTAAGTGTCATCATCTCTGCTTTCCTTCCAGAGCTGGGAGTGCCCAGGGAGACCTCACTGCAGCTGAGGTTGTGCTGGTTGTTGTTGTTCAGTTGCTCAGTAGCATCCGATTCTGTGCGACCCCATGGAGTGCAGCATGTCAGGCTTCCCTGTCCTTCACCATCTCCCGGAATTTGCTCAAACTCATGCCCATTGAGTTGGTGATGCCATCCAACCGTCTCATCCTCTGCTGCCCCCTTCTCCTCCTGACCTGGAAGTACACTGCATCATCTTTCAGATGGTGATTCTTACAAGTGTTCTTCAGATCAAAGTGCAAACTCTGCAGGAGATGCCATGGTGGAGAGGAGAGTGACCGGGGGACGAGAGTTCACAGATATGTGTAATGTCCCGGGCTTCTTAAACAAACCATCAGGCCCACCCTCAGTGTTTGAGAGGTCTAAAGCCAAGGCATAAATGGAGGCCCACACGCCATGTATCCAAATATTTGAGAGTTGTAAACCAAGCTAACAAATCATTAGATAATGTTTGTTCTTTCCCCTTGCCTGGACAAACATATCTTTATAACAACCTCAAAGGTAGGTTTTAATTGCACATCTTTGGACACCTAGAACACCGGGGCAGAGAGGTGAGGTTTCAGCCCCACCCATGGCTTTCTTTCTTTCATTTCTGACCTGAGGGCCCTTATGCTGAGGCAGGGAAAACCCAATCCTGAGAGTCCACCCCAGTCCAAGACAGAGGCCTGCACAAGCCCGAAGGCACACCGTCTGGGGAGGAAATTCCCAGATCCTGGCTACTTAGAGCACAGGAGAGGGGAGGAATGGAGTTGGATGGGTGTGTCCTCTGGCCTCATGGCCCTCTTCCCTGGAGTAGGACCAGCTGAGGGCTATCTAAAGCATATAGCCAAGGCAGGCCCTCTTGCCCGTCTATAGGCTAGTATTATTAAAATTATTTCCATTTTACAGATGAAGTAGCTGCAGTCAGAAAACCCTAGTGACTCTACACAGGCACACACCAGCCACAGAAGAGCCAGGACTTGAACCTGAGCCTGCCTGCCTCCAGATCCCTGCTGGGCCTCTCCCCCCACACTGCTCTCCCCATGGCCCAGCATCACCTGGGATGCTGTGGGCCTCTCCCTCCTGGGAGCCTGATCTCCCAACATGTCTCGCCCCTGGAAAGGTGCAAACAATCTTTTTATTGGTCTCTTTGCCTCCTGTTTTGTCCCCTCATCGAGCCAGGTTTTCTAAGACACAAAAGCTGTGACAAGTGACCTTCTTAATCCCCTGCCTTCAGGGTCATGTTCAAAGACCTTGCTTTGGCCCATCATGCGCTCTTGCACGCTTCCTCTCGGTGGTGGTCAAGCCCCCTCTGGCCTGCACACACTCTTGCAAATGTGGTTCCTTCTCTGGTCTTGTCAGGCCTCCCATCCCCTCTTCTAGCAAACTCCCTCATCCTCTTCATCTGGGCTTAGATGGCCTCTGTCACTGCCCCCCCCCCCAACTCTAGTTCTAAGGTGCATGCTCTTTGTCAGTTAATTCCTACATCAATACGTGTCAGGCTCCACACCTGACACTTGGCACCGTGTGGTACAGAGCAAGCCACCCATCAATGCTCATTGACCTCCTGTGCTCCCGACAGGATGGGAAGCTGGTCCTCGTCTCCTTTCTGTGCTTCAGCCTGAGTCAATCCCTTTTGAGAGATAAGGGCAGCAGAGAGCCATTACCGTTGCCAGCATCAACGCCTCTGAATGACAGGCACTTCCTGGACCAGCCCAATGTCCCGTGGTCCAAACGGCCACTGGAGGGGAAGGAACCCGAGGGAACCCTGCTGCTCTGAGCTCCAGCCCAGCCTCACAGCTCCTCATTTAAAAGGCATTCAGAGCAGGAGACAGCAGGTTCATACCCCAAGCTCAGAGCCCTCTTCTCCTTGCAGCAGTGTTTTTCAACATTGCAAATTACAAAAACAGTTCACTATAGAAATTTATTGGAAGTCTGTAGAAGAAATTTAAAATTCTGTTATTCCACCACCCAGAAAAAAATCACAGCTGATATTTGCATACCTCATCCAGATCTTTTTTCTACCTGTATAAAATAATTGAATATTAAATATTAGAATTAAAGGTTTCATACTGTCTTATTTACCTCAACATTTGATGTTCCAGTCTTATCTGCTTAGTGTGAGATCATTAGCATTTTCCTGGGTCGTCAGGTTTTTTTTGAGAATTTTATTTGGATGGCTATATGTGATCCCATGCTACAGTTCTGTAAGTCAGCTGAGCTGACACAGGCCAGGGCAGTGGCAGAGGGGATGGAAAGAGGTGGAAAGACCGGATCCATATGAAGTCTTCCCTTGTGGCTCAGATGGTAAAGAATCTGCCTGCAATGTAGGAGACTCAGGTTCGATCTCTGGGTCAGGAAGATCCCGTAGAAGAGGGAATGGCTACCCACTGCAGTGTTCTTGCCTGGAGAACTCCATGGACAGAGGAGCATGGCAGGCTACAGTCCATGGGGTCACAAAGAGTCAGACCCAACTGATCGACTTTCACTTTCCATATTTAAGAGCTAGAGTCAAGAGGTTGGGTCAATGCCAGGGACTCTCCAGAAAGCCCCGGTTCAAGAACACTTGCAAGTTTAGCACCGTCAGCCTGTTTGCATGAAGAGGTGCTCCCATTAGTGGGGTGTGTCCTTTGACAAAATCCTTAGCGGATGTCCTAGTGAAAGAGGAAGAAAGGAAGCAGAACAGGGCTCAGATGGGGAATTGCAGTGAGGGTCACGGGCACCAGAGGGCAGCGCAAGGGTCTCAAGCATCTTGGGAGCTGAGTCCCACAGAAAAGGCCAGTCACCTTGGGTCAAGCCATTCTGCAGCCCCGCTCCCCAGTGTGTATATCTACCCTGGAAATAAAGATGCTTGCCCTGCATCTCCAGTACTGTCCTGAGCATGGGAGATGAGATAACTTTGAAGGACCCCACAGTGAAGAGTCAAGAGTCTAGGAAAAGAACCTGACCATGTCCAGGCTGCCCCTGAGAGTAAGGCTAACTTCCAGTGATCAGCCCTGGGGCGGGAGATCCCAGGAAGAAGAGGAACCCTGCCCCCAGGTTCTGGAGTACCAGAACCAGACCAGGGACGGGAGTGCCCTGTCTGCAGTCGGGACTGATCTAAAGGCCTGGGTGGGGCAGCCCTGGTTGCAGTCCCGTATGTGTCTTGGGTGCCTGGAGCTCTAGGCTCTGATGGAGCAAGGGCACCCACATCCAGTGGTTCCGGTGGTTGGCACAGCACCTAGTATTCTGTGCCTCGAGGCAAGCTGTGGTTAGTGGGGGGAACACAAGCTCTAGGGCAGCGCCCTGCGCCCCTCGCCCCCCGCCCAGTCCCCGGACTGGTCTGGAAGACCTGCTTCTACTTAGCCTCTCCGAGCCTCAGTTTCCTCATCTGTAAGCTGACCCCCCGAGGGGCTGTGATGGTGTGGCACGTGCTGTGCACTCAGTATACAGGCCTTTGTGGGTGGAATTCAAGCCGCTGGCGGGTGGAGTGGAGGCTCCCTGTTTGCGGACACCGCTGGAAAAAGGGGTTCTCCTGCCCGCTCCACGCAGGCAAACTGCTGACAGTGGCAAAGCCACGTTGCCACGCTTGGAGGAAAACCGCCTTGGTTTCTTTTCTTTCTTTTTTTTAAGTCTATTTGGGTTTGGTTTCGTCTAGGGTTTGGCCATCGCGTGCGGTTTGCTTCTCCTCTCGGCTGCTCCGGTTGAGGTCCTGGCCGGGAACGAAGCTCGAAGGGCTTTAGGACCCGGCGCGTCCCGGTCCCCGGAGCCCCGGGCGGAGAGGCTTGAATGAGAGGCTGAAGGGGACCTCCGCTGAAAGGACTCGCGGCGGAATAGCTCCGCTGTCGCCAGGCAACCGCCCTGACGCAACGCAAAAAAAAAAAAAAAAAAAAGTCCCTTAAAAAAAGAATAGTGCTGAGAATTCGCCGTAGCAAGAGAGAAAGGGAGGCAGAAGCCGACTCAGCCCCGAAGCCGGGCCAGAGGCTGCGGAGGAGCCGGGAGCCCGCTTCGAAAGGAGAAGGCGGGGACCTGGTGACACCCCGGGAGGGGTCTCGGAGCACACGGGAAGGTGGGTTCGCGGCTGTGTGGGGATGATCCCAGGTCTGGGGGCCGTCTAGAGCTGGTTTGTCTGTGGCCTGCGGCGCCTCCAGGGGAGGGGGCTCTCAGGGCACCGCAGGTCCCCAGATCAGGTGGTAGAAGGGAGCAGCGGGGACTGCTGCAGCACCCACCTCAGGGCACCCTAGAGTGGACGCCCCGCACCCGCCCGCAGGAGATGAGGTCCTACCTCAGCCGCTCCTGGGGGCTCGCTGCCCTCAGCAGGAATGGGACGGTGGGTGGCCTCCATCTCTCCTATCCCAGCGGGCTTCTTCCAGGGATAACATCTGGGTGGAGATTTGAGGTTTGAGACATGAAAGGGAGGCGCCCCATTCAGCCTCTCCAGGTCTACTCCCGCCGGCTGGTCGCCTCCAAGCCCACCGGCTCCCTCTGTCTACTTCAGGCTCAGTGATGCGGCTGTTCCTGTCCCAAGGATGCAGTCCCTAACTCAGAAGTGACCCAAGGGAACTTGGGGCTGAGAGTGCTCTGAAGGGCCGAGGTCAGTGTGGTCAGAAGGAACTGCACAGCCAGGAGGGCCTGGGAGAATGAGTAGCCCTGTGGCTGACTCCCGCTCACTGAGAGAAGGTGGGCAGGTCTGTGTAGCCTGTGGCCAGGAGGCGGATGTCTGTGTGCACCAAGTCACGTTGACTGTTCTGCCTTTTTTTTTTAATCCCATATTGCCTGTATCCGTTTCTCATTCCCTGTTTCTCCTGAGAAGATTTGGCAGGTGGGTTGTTTCCAGGTTGGTAGACCACCGTCTCAAACCCATAGCCGCGCTCTCCCAGATTGTTTCCACCAGCTCCCAGCGGTTCCCAGTAAATCCCAGGTGAAATGAGCCAGATCCCTAGAGTGCCAGAGGGAGGCGTGGTTCGAAAGCTGCTTCCTTTCCCATCCCCAGAGACAGTGCTACCGCCCTCCAGGCGGGATGCTGAGCTGGGCAAAGTCCTGGGAGAGCAGAGATGGCCGGGGCGCCTCTGCCTAGCCATGTCTTCGGGGTGGGAGCTTCTGCTGGCGGCTTTTTAAGGGGCTTGGCAAAGCAGCCAGGAGCTGTACTCAACAGTGCAGTGATGACAGCTCTTCTTCCCTGGGTGCATTTGCCAATCGGGCATGGCTTGAGAACCCTGCACACACACTGGCCATTTTATCCTCACGATCACCCTTCAAGGAGACATTATGCCCCCATTTTACCAATGGGTCTCCAAGAGACTCAGTAACTTGGTGCAGCTCGTGGGACTGGTGAAAGAGCAGAGAGATTCAGCTCCACATGCTTGGCTCCTAAGACAGTGGTCTCAAAGGAAGGCTTTGAACATCTGAGCAGAGAGGGAAGAAACCAGATGAAAAGCAGGCTGCATGGTGGGGCTTCTCCTGTGTCCTGGGAGTGTCCCTGGCCATCTCAAGGGCCCAGTGGAGCCAGGAGAGAAGCCAGGCTCTGCATTCCACCCGGGTGGCTTCAATCCCACTCCCCTGAAGCCAAGAGAGAAAAGGGTCCTCCCTCACTCCCTTTTCCTCTTTGCCCACTCGAAGACCCCCAACTTCTCATGTTCTTGCTCCTGTCTCGTCCTCCGAATTACATGCATGGGATTCCACTAAATTAACAGTCCCACCTCCGTATCTACCAGCTTGACCTCTTCCCAAGAGGGACTGTGGCAGGGAAGTAAATTCAGGCAGTGCCTGAGTATTGCTGAGAGAGATCCACCGAGCCCCAGCCCAGCGAGGAAGAAACTGTTTGTCAGTCTCCTCACGCATGCAGGTGGCACTCTCTAGGTAAATTTTGCTTGTGGAAAACTCCCTTGGCCCCACAGGAGGGTCTGGAATTCCCAGAACCTTCTGGGAGCTATGCCTCACCCAACAGTTGCTCTTTGTTTGCCTGGGACATAGAGCTGTTTGCAAAGGTGGAGGATGGGTGACGATTGGAGCAGTTTGATCTCAGTTTCCTGACTAGGTGGGAAGGGAGTTCTCACTCACGAAATGGAAATCTTCTAGGATTAATCAGGATGACTCTTAACATGCACATGGACTCTGGAATTTGGACCCGGGGCGAGAAGAAAGAAAGGGAAGGCAAATTCTGAAGCAGAGCTCAAGGGCATGTGCATGGACCAAACAGAGGGCAGTGGGCAAGTGGACCTGGAAGGATCTGGAGGTGGGCAAGGTGGTTAGAAGGAACTTTGTCATGAGCCTGTAGAGTTTGAGCTGCCCCAGGGGGTTAAGTTGCCAATGTGAGTTAGGAAGACTGCAAATGTCAGCTTCTGCATGGTTAGGACAGCTGCCCTGGTGCAGGAAAGCCCATCGCTGCCCCCTCCCCTGCGCCCCCTTCCCCTACCCCTCCATACTTCTCTCTGGAGAGGCAAGAGAAAGGAAGACAGAGAAACTGTCAAGAGAAGGTAGCAGTGTGCTCTGCCCCATACCAATCTTTCGTCCTCCCGATGCCGCCCAACAGCCATGCCCCCCCCAACCCACAACAACACTCGCCCATGAAAAGCTCCTTAAGGAAGGAAATGCAGAGCATTGGAGCTTTCTCCCTGTGGGCACACCATCCAGGAGGGTAGGGGGACAGTGAACCCCCCACCATCATGGGCCGCCTCACTGCTGGCCCCTAGCAGCAGCCTTCACACTGCCCCGGGGAGGGGTGGGGTTCATCTCCTCCCAGGCACAGACTGAGCCCCACTTCTTCCAGGCCATCTCTCCAGGATGGCCAGAGAGTCCCTCAGGTATCCTGATTCAGATGTGGGAGCTGCTTATGTATTCCCAGAGGCTTGGTCGTCAGGCTTGTCCCCTGGGACCTGCAAGGCCCAACTCAGAGCTGGTTTCCAGGGACATGATGGGCCCAGACAGGGACCTCCACTGCAGCCAGAGCTCAGACTCACTGGAGGCTGAGCAGCCTTTCCTCATTCCAGGAAGCCAGCCGGGCCTGAGTGTGAGCTGGGCCATTCAGGGCCAGCCAGGTGGTACATGCTGAGGAGTACACAGGAATGTTCTAGACTGGGATGCTTGACCGGGCAGGCCACTTCAGGCACTCGTCATCCTTGTCCATCATCAAGTTAAAGCCACGCTGTCGCCCCCATCCCGTGAGCATTTACCTGCGTGTCGACCTGGAGACATCGCTTTACTGACCCACGGGTTTGGCCCAGTCGCTCGGGTTCTGTTGTGTTGTTGTTTGTTTACTTGTTTGACAGCAGCCACTGAAAACTATGAGGTGAGCGCAAACCTCAGTATCAGGCTGAATGAAAATAAACCTCAGGCTGAATTCTGCCTCCCAGCTAGACATTTTTCAAACACTTGTTTATTTGCAAATGGGTCCAGCAGAGGTCAGATGGCCTGTTCTGTGAGCTTGGTTCAACTCACAGTCATCTATCTCTCTAGAAGGCCCCATCATACCTCCCTCGAGGTCTTGCCAGCTTCTTTCTCCCTGCTCTTTCATGAGTCAAAATTCATTTGGCTAGCATATCTTGAATACCTCTGTTTTCACCAACGAGAATGCATTTCTAATGTTTACTGTTTTAATTATCAAATGTCTGGTGCTGAGCAGTAAGAAAGACACTCAAGCATTTGCCAGAGTCCCTTCTCAAGTGGGGAACCCTACACTAGGCTCCCAGCTGGGGTTGGGATGTCCCTTGTTGAATGCAGCTGGTTGCAGCTGGCCCTGCAATACCACATGGAACATCTCATGTCTGTGAAGTTTTTTAAGATCAATCATTGATATCTCACCAAGGAAGCATAAGACGATAGCTCTGTTCTCGAGGCGTGCGGAGTCTGATCAGGGTTGCTGAAGAGAACAGAGCACTTGTGCAACCCAGTGTTCTGGGCTGACACTAGAGTGATATTCTGCAAATTTTGGGGCACACAGACGTGTGAGCTAATGTCAGTGGTTTGGCAGCCAAGTAGAGTCCAGCCAAGCACTGTCATGGGCGGGAGGGGACTGTCCTACTAGAGGCATAATTAAGAATTCACATATACTCATCAGATCCTTCCAAGGCTTTGCAGTTGATTCCATTATGATCCCAAGGTCAGAGAACTAGTGTCTGGGCTTGGTTATCAACCCACATCCACCAACACCCAGCCCTGCCTCATCCCTAACCTGTTCCATCTCTTTCTCCATTTCTTTCTCCAACTCCTGATTCCTGCCCTTTGTGAAGTGCGAATTCAGGCAGCTCAGCATCTGGCTGTGTTCAGCTCACGCTAACACCAAAGGGGAGCAGTCACACATCCTACTTTCTGTTCTGCCCAGGGCCCCAGAGAGGGTGCAGGGCTGTGCTTTGGGGGAGCTGCAGACAGAGCTCCCACACATCCTTAGTACAGGCCTTGCCCAAACACAGGGAAACTCTGAGGGCCCTTCACCCCCCTGAGAAGTCAGCACGCCCAGACAAACTATGCAGAAGCTAGTGAAACTCCTTAGGAAGTCCTTGTCAAACCATTAGGCTTTGGAACTTTCGATGCAGAGTGAAACAGAAAACCAGTCATCCCAATAGTTTCCCACTTGAGCCAGAGCTGGTTGCTTCTGCTTATTTGAAATTGAAGCCCGTTATCCTGTGGACTCAGATAGTCCTACCTCTGACTTGTCTGGGAGCCGAGACAAATGCCAATTTGGGGACCCTTGGGTGGGGTGGACACACCCCACAGGAGAGGATGCACAGCTCCTGCATCCTCAGCTGTGAAAGGTTCCCTGTTCTTAGAGTCAGAGCCTCTGCTCAAACAGCCTTCGGCTTTGATCTCTGCAAATTGCTTTAAAGGCCACTTTGTGTCTGCTTTCTGCCCCCTAATCCCCGCTGCCGTGGCCTTTGGCCAGAAGAGCCCCGCAGTCACATGCAGCGGTCACATGCAGCGGTCGGCTGGGCAATGGGTTGCCTCACCCCTCCTGCGCATCTCTGCCTCGTCAGGGTTCTCACGGAGGAGAACCGCCGCCTCAGACTCTGTGTTTCCCATGGCTAATCCTCCCCGCTCCCCCCGAGGGACCCTCAGATTCTCAGGCACCTTTCTACCGCCTGTCGGAGCCGAGCAGCCCTTTCCCAGGGCCTCGCAGCCTTGGAAGGGACACGGTGGCGGGGATGCTGGGTGGCCCGGCAGCCCCTCCTCTCCTTTCAGCCTGGCAGTAAATTACATCTGTGGCTCCTGGGAGCCAGGACCTCTCCCCCACCCACGGGGACACACAAGTCTTTTTCGGAGGTTTCCTCGGCCACCTCTTTCACTGGGGAAAACGATAGGAAAGTCTCTCCATTCCCAGCCTCAGCGGGAGGCCTGCATGGCCTCTCTTTGCAGCGGGGAGCAGGCCCATCAATTATTCAGTGTGGCCCGAGCTCTTTGAAAGCACAGAAGTCCTGACAAGTATTTTTATAGATCCTTGCCTGCTCACAACGTCCCAGCGAGACAGAGCAAGCTTTCTCCGTATTTTAGACATTGGAAGCTCCACTTGGAGCCAGAAGATGTGGACCCAAGCCCAGCCAGCTCCCCCAACAGAGCTGTGTGACCCCAGGCAAGTCTTGCAACATCTCTGGTTTGTGGCTTTGCTATTATACTCTCAGGAAGGTCTTTCCACCCCAGGTCGTCGAGTGAGTACGGGGAAACATTTGTAAACTGCAGTGTGATTTCCCAGTGTTTGTGATGGCTCCTGTGATTTCAGGTGTGGACAAGGGAGCTCTGAGTGATAGCCTGAGGTACAGCCATTAGCACAGGACTTGCAAACCAAACTTCACTGGGAGAAACGCCTGAGAGCGCGGGTGAGTGGGTTCCTCTGTCCCTACCCGCTGTGAGTGCGACTTCGTGACAAGGTGACGACCCCATGGGGTGCTGTGGTCTAGACTCTGTGCTTATTGGCAAGGAATAAGGGTCAAGGCTATTGCCCCCAAACCGTGCATTTCAGAGGGGAGAAGTGAAACCCCAAGGGGAAGTGAGTCACCACAGTCGCTGGAGTTGGTGGGGGTGGGGATGGGGCCCTTGGAGCTGACTCCCAGGTCAGGGATGCCTCTTTCCCACCCAGGCTGGGCCTGACCAAAATGGGGGGCCCATTCCCCTCCCCCAGCAGCAGTTCTGGGATCCCTGGAGCAGGCAGTGAGGAGTGAGGAATGTAGCATCCCCCAGCCTCCTTCCACCCTGTCAAATTCAAACACGAGGCTACATGGAAAGGCTAAAACATCGACTTGAGACCAGCTTCCTAAACCACCCCTGCCCTCCCCACTCAGACTCACTAGAAACATTCTGACCTTGAACTTGCAGGGGGTCTTCTACTGGGCAGGAAACCATCTGGAGGTGTGAATTTGTTCACTGGTTCACAGCACCACCATCCTCAGCATTTAATGAGCATCCGCTGTTTGCAGAACTCAGAACACAAAAGAGAAAGGAAGGTTCTTCCCATCAAGGACCTAGATGGTGGCCAGGGAGCCTGGACACTCACCGTTCAAGGTCACACAGGCCATGGGTGCAGCCTGAGTGACAGTGCTGGGAACATTCAGAGGATGGCTTGGAAGGTGGGGTTTCCTAGAGGACTTTGTAGAGGAGACCAGCCCTCAGATGAGCTTCAAAGCAGAGCTCTAGACCCAGTGAGGAGAAGGGTGTTCCTCAAGGACAAGTGATGGACAAAAGGATAAAACCAACTGTCCAGAAAGTCTTCCTTCTTTCATTCATCCTATCACTCCTTCACTTGTTCATCAAGTTTACTGAGCACCTACTATGTGCCAGGCACTGTTCTGAGCGCTAGGATCACAGTAGTGAACAAGATGAAGTCCCTACACTCAGGCCTACATTCCCATGGGTGACACTTGTGATCAATGTGTAATATCCTAGTTATGTGAGTGGGAAGAGCTACAAAGCAAAAGGAAGCAGGAACATCCCAGTGGGCTGGTCAGAACCAGTGTCTGTGGAGTGGCATCTGAGTGGTGGTGTGAGATCAGGGAGAAGTCAGCAGACAGATCAAGGCATGAGGGTGGGGGGCACAGTCTCGGAGTCTTTAGAGGAAGTGGCTGGAGTCTCACAGTGGTTTGGGGCAGGAGTGATCTAGGCAGCCAAAGGGTGGCTTTCTGGAAGTGGTGAGTGGAGGGTTCTGCTGGTGGCAGCTTGTGGCCCCCGAGGTACATCGTGGGTGGAGGCGAGGAACCCAATACCACCCCACTGTCCTCACCAGCATTCCCCACTGTGCACGTCCAGAGCACACATGCAATAAAGTCCACCCCACCACACACACACACATACGCATGCACACAAACACACAGACACTCACACACACGATATCCCAATGCAGTTCGCCCCCACCATGCACCCACAGTTGGTACCCAGGGTCCTGTCTCTGCACCATGTCTTCCCCACCTCAGGTGCTCCCCACACCAGCTTTGACCAAGACCAGGAATACAGATGAGCTGGGAAAGATGATCAGTGCAGGGCCAAACCAGCAGTGTCCCCGCCTGCTTTAGTCACCATGGCAACCTTGGAGGAGGTGAGAAAACGCGATCTCTGGCAGCTCCTGGAAGTGCCCTGGAGACTGTGGGTCGCTCCATGGGGCATAGGGCTGTGTCCCCCAGCCGCTCAGCCCCGGTTGTTAGGGCTCCCATGAGTCTACAGAGCACAGATGGGGTTTTCCAGCCTCCATCAGCCACCGGAGGTCAGTCCTGAGGCCCAGCCCTGGGCTCTCCATTTAAGATAAGCATCAGGGTTTTGTGATGAAACCCCATACTGAAAAGCCAGCCTCATCACAAGTCCCCCTCCATGTCCCACAGCTACTGACCTGTCACTCACCTGGAACAAAGAGGCATTCGCTGCTTTAGAAGATGAAAGAAAAAGATTCAGGTGTGAGTTGTGGCCTCAGCCACTTTGGAAGTTCATACTGTGAAGTGCGGACCACAGAGCCTCCCCGACTCTGTCCTTTCAGCCCTGCGGGAGGCTGTGGGACAGAAACTGCAGCCACTTCATTTCCAAAAGAGGGGCCGAGACCCAAGTCTCACAGCTTCCGCTGGAGAGGGATCCCCCCTCCCAGAGGACAGACCTGCAGCAGGAAGCAGAGGGCCCTCTGTCTTCAGCCCCGGCGGCCTCTGACCTGCTCTCAGGGTAGACCTGTGGGTGGAAGGTGGGGCGGTGTGGCCCTTCTGGGAGGTGGCCGGCGGGCCTGGCCTGGCTAAAGCCAGAATGGGCGCTGCCGCTCCCCTCCTGCTTAGGTGGCCTGTCAGCCCTGGGCCTGAGTCCCTCTGGTAGGTATTTTAGGCCTCATCACGCACAAAACACAGCCACAGGGAGGCTCTCTTTTGGGGACTGGTGGGTCCAGCCTGACTCAGGAGTCTGAGAGCCGCAGAGGTCGAAGGCGGATGAGCAGAGGCAGCGGCCGGCACAGCAGTGGACACAGAGCCGGAGGTCTGGCCCCAGGAGCGGGCTCCGCAGCTGAGTCTGTCTTCTGCAGGGGCATTTCCACACTGAAGAACTGGCTACACTGCAGCTGAGGCCTCACAGGATCTGGCAAGGCAGACCTGGCCGGGATGGGATGCCTTAAGGGACTGTTCATCTCCACTCCGGTTCCTGCATGTTACCCAGCGCTGTGCTGCTGGAGGCCAGGGCCAGCCTCACACGCGTGTGCAGGAGGGCCGATGCTGCAGGTATCACCCCAGTGAAAACCAGAGATATCAGCTGAGGCACAAGAACACTTCTACTAGAAGGTGCAACAGAAGTGTAAATTTACCCATATGGAAATTTCTTATTGCATCCTCATCAAGCATTACCCATAGTAGACTGTAAATTAGGAAACAATCAACTATGGATGCAGCTGGAGTCTTTTTTTTCCCCTAAATATTTATTTATTTGGCTGCACTGCCTCTTAGTTGTGGCATGTGGGATCTAGTTCCTTGACCAGGGATCGAACCTGGGCCCCCTGTGTTGGGAGGGCAAAGTCCTAGTCAACGGACCACCAGGGAAGTCCCTCCAGATGGACTCAGTAAAAGCTTCTTTGAGTGGACAGCAGTCATCCAGCCTCAACTGGAGGTGGCGGCACCCCATCTAAGGGACACGTAGAAATGTGGGGGAGAGTGTCCTCTGGTCTTCATCTTATTTTATGACACTGCTCAGGCCTCAGTTATATGCTTTGGCCCCCCAAATGAACTGTTTGTCCCCCTCATTTCCAAGAGTCAGCCCTCAAGAGGCTCAGAGGCCAGTGGAGGAGACCATGGAGAAAGTTCCTGGTAGAAGTGCTGTGGTCTAAGAGTGCCACTGAGCCCAGTTTTGAGCCAACCTGGAGCCAGACCACAGGGGTTCAGTTCCCAGCTTTTCAGCTGGTTCTGTGACCTGGGGCTGGCTACTCTACCTCTCAGGGCTTTGGTCTCCTCATCGCGGTCATGGAGACGGTGATAATACATGCCTCATGAGGGTATTGTGAGGACTGAACATGTTCGTGCACATGAAGCTCTTAGAACAACGCCTGGCATGAGCTGCTCCGAGGAGATGTGACCTAATGTTGCTGTGATGACATAATTGTTTCCCCAATGTGGTCTCGTGGCATTGCGGGGGCACGTGCAGCGTGGGCAAGTCGAGGAAAACTTGAGGGGGGAAAATTCCTGAGAACTGAGCTGTGGAAGGAAGCAAAGGGCGTTCCGGGCTGAGGGAACCAGCTTGTGCAGAGTCACAAGGGCCATGGGAGGGCCCGGGATTCAGTGTTGGAGAGGAAATGAGTCCCTTCTCGTGGAGAGCCCCAGACCAGAAGGAGCAGACCGGAGCCTGGGGATCCAGACTGGGAGAGAGTGACTGAGACTTTCTTAGGAAAACGCAGGGCAATAGGGAGGGAGTGGGATACTTCCCTTGTGGTCCAGCGGTTAGGACTCCATGCTCCCAATGTAGGGGCCCTGGGTTCAATCCCTGGTCGGGGAACTAGATCCCACATGTTGCAAGTAAAACCTGGCACAGCCAAATAAATAAAAATAAGTATTAAAAAAAGAGAGAGCAAGTGTCCCATGAGAGAGAGAGAGAGATGAGAGAGAATGGGTCTTCAGCATCCTTCCTGCTCTCAGAGCCTGTCTAGGAAGCAGGTTTGGAAGTCGTCCAGGAGGATAGATTAGGTCATCTTGGGATGAGGTGTTGGCCGCATGACTGGGCTGCACCCACCTGACTCCCCCAGCAGCCGGGGCATTAGCTCATGGCTGGCAGGGCATCCTTTGTAGCAGCCACCGTGGGCCCAGAGTGAGCCAGGAGCGTGTTTGAACAGCAGTCCTTGTGTGTGGTGTGGGTCCCAGGTGCTGACACGTCACTACTAAGGAGCTCACGCACCCTCAGGGCTGATCTTCTGCTTCAGGAACTTCACGTTCTTCCACAGCTCAGCGGCGGCCTGGCGGGGCATGCCCAGGCCTGGTGGGATTATGGTCCAGCCTTGTTTTTCTGGATGTCCCGGGTCCTAGATCTGGCGGCATTCTCTGGCTTCACTCCTGGGATCTCTGTCTTTGCCAAGTCCCCAGTGAATGTCACTTTGTCTTGGGCTTACTGTAGACCGGCACTGTTAAGGGCTTGATATTTATCACCTTGCCTAGTTTTCATAATGACCTACAAAGTTGATGGTATTACCCTCGGGGCCAGTTTCACGAGCAAGGGACCTGGGCAGCCCCGCAGGGCCCTGTCCTTGGGTTCATGCTCTGCTGTCCCTGTCTTGAAAATCTTAGTACTTTTTTTTTTTTGCTGCCCCTCAGCTCTTAGTTGCAGCGTGTGGGATCTTCCATTGTGGCGTGTGGACTCTAGTCGTGGCTCGCAGGCTCAGTAGTAGGGGCTCCAGTTTAGCTGCTCTGCGTCAGGTGGGATCTTCGTGCCCTTATCAGAGACGGAACCCGTATTCTCTGCATTGCAAGCTGGATTCTTAACCACTGGACCATCAGGGAAGTCCCACAATCTTACTCGGTTGTAACAAGGTGCTCTGATTATATTTTGCACCAAGCCCAGCAAATTACATAGGGAGTCCTGATTCTCCCCATTTGTCAGGAGAAGACACAGAAGCACAGAGTAGTCTGAAGCCACATGCCCAGGATCACAGAACTGGGCCCCTGGGGGACTGATACCAAGGCCTATGCCCCCTGGAGTAGGAGGAGGCTGACCCAAGTCCCTCAACCTTCCTGAGCTCCATCTTCCCATTCTTGAAATAGGGGGACACCACCTGCTCCTCACTTCCCCTGTGGCTCAGCTGGTAAAGAATCCGCCTGCAGTGCAGGAGACCCGGGTTCGATCCCTGAGTTGGGAAGGTCCCCTGGAGAAGGGAACGGCTACCCACTCCAGTATTTGGCCTGGAAGATTCCATGGACTGTATAGTCCCAGGGGTCGCAAAGAGTTGGACACGACTGAGCGACTTCCACTTTCAATTTTTTCACCTGCTCCTCAGGGCAGCCATGAGGCTTGAGGGAGAGGACAGGCATACGGGGAGCCTTCTGCGCTCACGCTCAGCCGATGGGGGATCAGCACGGGCCGACTCCCACAGGTGTTCCTGCCCATATCGCCAAGTCGTCCTGACACCGCCTGTGCAGGTCTTCTTGGAACTGATGCAGAAACCGCTCATTAAAATAAGCTCCCTGACCCCAGGAGGCAGCTACATGACAGGAGGCAGGAAACACGGTCAGAGCTGTTTCCCCCCAGAAGAAGCACGCCTCCTAACAGGTCCTCCCTCTGCAGGGAGGGTGCAGCCGGCAGAAAGGGAGGCAGACAGACGTCCCAGTAGCTTCTCCTGCTCACAGATCTCAGGGCTCGTCTCCTTAAAAGGCTTCGATGGAAATTGCCAGCGCTCCTCTGTCAGTGGAGGACGCCCTGTAGGGTAAAACCACCCTGGGCACACTCTAGCCAGACTCTGACACCTCAGCAAAGAGGCGGATGGTGCCTGGGAGGGGCCCCAGACAGAGGCTAATGGGTCTTTAGATTTGGAGAGATTCTTGAGGAGCCTGGATAACAGTGATACTGCATGGAAGGCCCCCATGAGAATACCCCACATTTGCAGGGTGTGCTACACCTGCAGAAAGTCCACACAAGCCAGTATCCCAAACTCTAGGGGGTTGGTATTGTCACCCTCTGTTTTACAGATGGGGAAACTGAGGCTCAGCAAGCCTGGAAGTACCTACAGCTGAGCAATCTGATCCCAAGTCTCATGCTTCTGTCTCAAGACCTAGTGGTTCTCAACCCCGGTCCTCTCAGATCACTTGGGGAGCTTTAAAATATGTTGAAGCCTGAGTCTGGTTATAGACTAACTGAATCAGGACCCCTGGGACAGGCCTGGGACTCATGTTGTGGAGGTTCCTCAGGGGATTCCCAGCTGTGTGACTGGAGGTGAGAGCTAGGTTTCTCTGCCATCAGTAGGGGGAAGATTTCTTTTCATTCCTGGAGCCAGGGGGAGTACATTCCTCTGGTCAAATGCCATCTCAGGAAGGGGTTGCAGGAACCGTCCAGAGAGACAGGAGGCTCTGCTCTTGAATAACTCCAAGCCCAGCCTCCCTAGCGGCCCAGCCCTCACACCATCGCCCCATGCCTGGTTCCCATCACCCTAGACACACAATCACAGCTCTTAGTTTCAGCTTTCCTCCTTAGCCACATCCAGGTCAATACAAATCTCTTCATTCCCTACCTTTTCCATACCAAGTGTCCTCTCTGGGCTGAAGGTGTCTTATTGTTTTTTTCTCCCCCACGTAAGCTTTATCTTGGACGTTGTTCCATACCAGTTCAGTCTTTTGCCCAACTGCATGCCCTCCCACAGATTTTCAAAACTCACCCTGAAAACCAGGGACTCCTCTTCTCTGCCGAAGTGAAAGCTCTCCTGCTCTGATGGTCCACCTCCACCTGCCCAGACCCTGTGGGACATGGAGGCTGGGAGCCCAGGGCCTGCTTCTGCCTCAGTTACTTCCCTGCCTCCCTGTCATGGGGCAAGGGCCTGGCTCTCACCTCCTCCGTGGGGGTGGGAAGGCCAAGTCGGATCGGAGAACTGCAGCCCCAGCCCGGGAGGTGCTGCTGTGTGGGCATATTAGGTGAATGTGAGAACCATCTTTGCAGGAGGTGAGTCATGGCTGCGCTCCATTTAACAATCCACCCAAGTGCAGCCTGTTTTCCCTCTGCAGGTTTCTTTGCTTCCTGCTCTGACGAGGTGAGGTAAGGTGTTGTCCTTGGAGAAAGAAGCTGAGGGTGTGCGGTAGGACTCGCCCTGAGCAACCAGAGCGTAGGAAGGGGCTGTAGTGGGCAGGGTGGGGCAGAGTCAGGGGTCTCTGGCCTTTCCCTCACGCTGGCAGCCTTAGCTCAAAGAGACCTGAGCCTGGCGTCCTTACTAATCACTGGGAGCTCTTGGGTGAGTCTTGTAACCTCTGGAGACTCTTGACTCCTCATGCATAACATGGAGACAAAAATAAGTAATTATAGACTTACATGGAGGATTAAATGAGATAATAGGGGTGGAACCATTTCCTAAATGGTAAGACACTGTACAAAGTCCATTCTTTCCTGCATCGACTTTAGGCACTGTGCCTCCCTGAGCCTCCGCGTCCCCTCCTGAGGCTGCGTCCAAGGGAGGGGTCAGCACTGACGTCATTCCAATCCTTCCTGTAGGTCCCACACCAGCCAGCAACTTCCCGCTGCCTGCCCTTCCTGCGAAGGGGACGGGGTCCGTCCTGCATCCCCACTGGAGTCTGATCTGCCTGCCCCTCCAGCACTGATAGATCTTCTTGGCAAAGCTGCCCCCAAAGATTCCTGCTAATGCTTGTCTGTTCCTGCTCTTGCAAAGCATGGCGCCCACAGTGCTCCAGGAAGCCTCTTAAGCTCTGAACGTTGGCAGCTACTCCAGAGGACACTGTGTAGGTCCCCTTCGCCCCCTCTGGACCCCAGGAGCCGCGCCCTTCCTAGCGATGCCCTCGGGAGCCTCGGCCCCCACTGGATGAGACCCCTCCAGAGCAGGACCCGACCTTGCTGCCCACCAAGAATCCCTCGGCACCCTCCACCACCTCTCATGTTTGGCTGTCCAGGCAGGTTCTAGAATGTCTGTGCCCCAGATCCAAGTAGGAGAAGGGGCCGGTGGGGAAGAAGGGCCGGCAGAAACGACCCCACCTCCAGATGACCACCTCCGGAGCCTGAAAGCCCTCACGGAGAAACTGAGGCTGGAGACCCGCAGGCCTTCCTACCTGGAGTGGCAGGCCAGGCTGGAGGAGCAGACGTGGCCCTTCCCAAGGCCGGCGGCCGAGCAGCGGGGCTCGGCGGAGGACGAACCCTCGCTCCTGCGAACCAGAGCACTCAGGCCGCATCACCCATCTAGTGGGAGGGCTAACCAGGATGCCGGGCCCCCGCCCACTGGCAAGCTGGAGGGCTTTGAGAGCATCGACGAAGCTATAGCCTGGCTCAGGAAGGAACTGGTAAGTAAGTGGCTCTCCCTTCAGGAAGCCCCAGAAAAGAAGCCTTTCTCTGTCTCTTCCCCTGCCAATTCCACATCTTCCTATTCAGACAAGGGGGTGCCTCGTTATTATGTATGTCCATGTGGTCCATCAGCCCCCAACCACAGGTACCTATGGAGAGCCTGAGCCCAAGTTCTGAAGGTGTCCGCAGCCTTCCTGATGCCACCCCAAAGCCACAGCATTCCACACTGAGTGGTCCAAGAGCTGAGCGGTTCAAGGAATGAGTGAGGTGCTTGTTGTTAATCGCTGAGCCTCCTAGAGCCAGGTGAAGTCGGGTCTGGCAAAAGAGTCTCATGTGCCCCTTCCTGGACTGTGACTGTGCCTCTTCCTGTCTGAAACCCTGTCATCCTGCCATCCACCCGTGTGGTCCTTTATTCAGCAGCCGCTCTCCGCGCAGCGCTGTGCTGGGCAGTGGGGCTGTGTGGCTTGGGCTCAGCCTGGCAGTACACTGTGCACAAGGGGTGAATCAGGAGATGCCTGGGGTGACATGGCTGATCAGGCCTGGCGGGGGTGAAGGCTTTGGGCTGAGCCTTGGAGACTGAGTAGGAAATTGCCAAGAAACCAAGGCTTCCCTGGTGGCTCAGAATGTAAAAATCCACCTGCATGCATTTCAGGAGACCCGGATTCGATCTCTGGGTCGGAAAGATCTCCTGGAGAAGGGAATGGCAACCCACTCCAGTATTCTTGCCTGGAGAATTCCATGGACAGAGGAGGCTGGTGGACTACAGTCCGCGGGGTTGCAGAGTCTGACGTGACTGAGCGACTGACGCACTGGATGAGAAGGCATCCAGGTGGCATAAGTGTGAGCACTGGGCGTGCACTGGGGCCAGCAGCTCAACCCTTTTTCTGCCCCTGGTCATGGCAGACTCTCATCAATGGTGGCGCTCAGCACATGAGAAGGGGGTGGGCGTGCAAAGCTGCATCGCTTGGCTCTTCTTAACCACTG